CGTAGGGTATCTGATTGGCTTAAAAGTACAAGAAAACACTTCAAAAGTGACGTTTCTGAAGAATTTTAACAGTTTTCTTGTATCTACGAACGCCAGAATGCATAAAATTGACCTAAACGTCTCCTTTTCCTATTCTGAGTCGATTCTGCATGCTTTAAGTGTGTTTGGTGGCTCAGAACCATCAAAAAACGTTGAAATATAGTTCAAATTCAATAAAAATCGACAAAAATACAGTTTCTAGCTAAAATTTGATGGTTTCGTTGCACTTTCCGAGCCCGTAGGGTATCTGATCGGCTTAAAAGTACAAGAAAACACTTCAAAAGTGACGTTTCTGAAGAATTTTAACAGTTTTCTTGTATCTACGAACGCCAGAATGCATAAAATTGACCTAAACGTCTCCTTTTCCTATTCTGAGTCGATTCTGCATGCTTTAAGTGTGTTTGGTGGCTCAGAACCATCAAAAAACGTTGAAATATAGTTCAAATTCAATAAAAATCGACAAAAATACAGTTTCTAGCTAAAATTTGATGGTTTCGTTGCACTTTCCGAGCCCGTAGGGTATCTGATTGGCTTAAAAGTACAAGAAAACACTTCAAAAGTAACGTTTCTGAAGAATTTTAACAGTTTTCTTGTATCTACGAACGCCAGAATGCATAAAATTGACCTAAACGTCTCCTTTTCCTATTCTGAGTCGATTTTGCATGCTTTAAGTGTGTTTGGTGGCTCTGAACCATCAAAAAACGTTGAAATATAGTTCAAATTCAATAAAAATCGACAAAAATACAGTTTCTAGCTAAAATTTGATGGTTTCGTTGCACTTTCCGAGCCCGTAGGGTATCTGATTGGCTTAAAAGTACAAGAAAACACTTCAAAAGTGACGTTTCTGAAGAATTTTAACAGTTTTCTTGTATCTACGAACGCCAGAATGCATAAAATTGACCTAAACGTCTCCTTTTCCTATTCTGAGTCGATTCTGCATGCTTTAAGTGTGTTTGGTGGCTCAGAACCATCAAAAAACGTTGAAATATAGTTCAAATTCAATAAAAATCGACAAAAATACAGTTTCTAGCTAAAATTTGATGGTTTCGTTGCACTTTCCGAGCCCGTAGGGTATCTGATTGGCTTAAAAGTACAAGAAAACACTTCAAAAGTGACGTTTCTGAAGAATTTTAACAGTTTTCTTGTATCTACGAACGCCAGAATGCATAAAATTGACCTAAACGTCTCCTTTTCCTATTCTGAGTCGATTCTGCATGCTTTAAGTGTGTTTGGTGGCTCAGAACCATCAAAAAACGTTGAAATATAGTTCAAATTCAATAAAAATCGACAAAAATACAGTTTCTAGCTAAAATTTGATGATTTAGCTTGGAAAAGTTTTCTTCCTTGTTCGTTAAATTATTTGTTTTTGTTTTTTGGATTAAAGGTGATGATTTTTGTCCTTTTATTGTAGTTAAAAAAATTTAGTATAAACTAATAGAAAATTTTTGTTTCTTTCATATATTTTCAAAATATATACTTGTTCAAGTTCATTAGTTAATTAATAATTTTGTCTCAAATTTTGAATGTTAAAGGGTTAATAATGTAATATAGAAAGTATAGGACAGTAAGGGTTTGTCCTGTAATAATGTAGGGGTCTTCTACAGGTCGGGCTCCAATTCAAGTTAATAGGATTACTATTGATACTATTGATCAAAAAAGAGTTTTGTTTAAGGGATAGAACTGTCTTCTTGTGAATTTTTTTTTGTTTGTGAAGGGTAGGATGTAAAGGATGGCAATTGACATTGCTAAGGCGATTACTCCTCCTAGTTTGTTAGGAATTGAACGGAGAATTGCATAGGCAAATAAAAAATATCATTCTGGTTGAATATGAACGGGGGTAACAAGGGGGTTAGCTGGTGTGAAATTGTCTGGATCTCCTAATATATAAGGATGGAGAAGTGAAAGTGCAGTAAGAGTTAATAATATAAGAAGAAATCCTATTACGTCCTTGTATGAAAAATAGGGGTGGAAGGGAATTTTGTCAATGTTTCTATTAAGTCCTAGAGGGTTATTGGATCCTGTTTGGTGAAGGAATAAAAGATGAATTATAACTATGGCTGCAATAATAAAAGGTAAAAGAAAGTGGAATGAAAAGAATCGTGTCAAGGTGGCATTGTCTACTGCGAAGCCTCCTCATACTCATTGTACAATAGTAGATCCTAGGTAAGGAATTGCTGATAGAAGGTTTGTAATTACGGTTGCTCCTCAAAATGATATTTGTCCTCATGGAAGAACATATCCCAGGAATGCAGTTGCTATTACTAGGAATAAGATTGTTACTCCTACTATTCAAGTGTGAAGTAGGTTATATGAACCATAATATATTCCTCGTCCAACGTGTATGTAAATACAGATGAAAAAAAAGGACGCTCCGTTAGCGTGAAGTGTTCGTATTAATCATCCTTGATTGACGTCTCGACAAATATGGGCTACTCTATTGAAAGCTATTTCGATATTAGGGCAATAATGTATTGCTAAAAATACACCTGTAATAATTTGAACTCCTAAACAAACTCCTAGTAGGGATCCATAGTTTCACAAAAGGGAAATATTAGAAGGAGTAGGAAGATCGATTAGAGAATTATTTACGATTTTGAAGAGAGGGGAATATTTACGTATTGCTTTTTTCATTAGTTTATTTGACGGATGGATCCTTGTTTGAAATTGGTAATTTTGACTGTGGCAATTAAAGCTAGTAGGAGATAAAATATTATGAATAATAAAATTATTCTTAATGGAAAATTGATGAATTTATTGATTGTTAATATGAATTCGGTTTTTTGATTAAAAATTAAGAGTTCGTTGTTTGAGATTAATAATTTATTAATATAGGATGTTAGTCAGGCAATAATGGGTAAAGGGGTAATAATTATTAAAATCTTAAGATTTGTTTTAAATTTTTCGTTTGATGCAATTCTTGTTATATATATAAAAAGAATGAGTATCCCACCAATTATAATTAAGAATAGAATGTAAGAAAATCATATATTTTGATTTATGAATCCTGTGGTTAATCTGATTGTAATGGTTTGTAATAATAAAATTGATCCTATTGATAAGGGGTGTTTTATTATAATAAAAATAGAGGTTAGGATTATGTTTGTTGCGATAAGAATAGATAAAATTTCAAGAAATAGTTTATTAAAATATTAATTTTGGAGATTAAAGATGAATTTATGTTCTTTCTTGATGTTTTTAAAGTTGAACTTATTTTTAGTTTACAAGACTAATATTTTATATTAAATTATAAAAACTAATGATAATTTTTAAGTTTACAAGATTTTTTATGTTTTTGGGGGGTTTACTGGTTTTTTCATTGAAACGAAAGCATTTACTTTTAATATTGTTAAGATTGGAATTTATTATTTTATCCATTTATTTTTTAATGTTTTTTTATTTTAGATTTTTAGGTGGGGATTATTTTTTTAGTATGGTTTTTTTAACTTTTAGAGTTTGTGAGGGGGTTTTAGGCTTGTCTGTATTGGTTTCTTTAATTCGTACTCATGGAAACGACTATTTTCAAAGATTTAATGTTTTATGATAAAATTCCTATTTTCATTAGTTTTTATGATTCCTTTATCTTTTTTCTTTGATTTTTGATTGAATCAGGTAGTATGGTTTATTGTTAGTTTATTTTTTTTGTTTGGATTTGTTTCTGTTGGATTATTTTCTAGAGTTTCAGGTGAATTAGGGATTGATTTATTATCTTATGTATTGATTTTGCTTAGTTTTTGAATTTGTAGATTAATGATTATGGCAAGAGAAAAGATTTATCTTAAAAATAATTGATATGGCTTATTTTTATTTGTTGTTTTGATTTTAATAATTTCATTATTTTTGACTTTTGGTTCTTTAAATGTTTTTTTGTTTTATATTTTTTTTGAGGTTAGGTTAATTCCTACATTAATTTTAATTGTGGGATGGGGCTATCAGCCTGAACGTCTACAGGCTGGGATTTATTTGTTGTTCTATACTCTTTTGGCGTCCTTGCCTATAATGGTTTCTTTGTTTTTTTGTTATGATTGTTTTGGTTCTTTACATTATTATTTTTTTAATGATAATGTTGATAGATTGATTATTTACTTGCTTATTAATTTTGTTTTTTTTATTAAAATTCCCATGTTTTTTGTTCATTTGTGACTACCAAAAGCTCATGTTGAAGCCCCAGTTTCGGGTTCAATGATTTTAGCTGGAATTATACTTAAATTAGGAGGCTATGGTATAATACGACTTATAGTTATTTTTTCTTTAATTGGGATAAAGATTAATTTATTTTTTATTAGTTTGAGATTGGTCGGGGGTTTTTATGTGTCTTTGATTTGTTTACGTCAAAGAGATATGAAATCTTTGATTGCTTACTCTTCTGTTTCTCATATGGGATTAGTGTTGGCTGGAATTATAACTTTGAATTATTGAGGGTTAAGAGGGGCATTAGCTATAATGGTAGCTCATGGTCTTTGTTCTTCTGGTCTTTTTTGTTTGGCTAATATTTGTTATGAACGTTTGATGAGACGGAGTTTATATATTAATAAGGGGTTAATTAATGTTATACCTAGTTTGTCTTTACTTTGATTTTTGCTTATTTCTTCAAATATGGCTGCTCCTCCTTCATTAAACTTGATGGGTGAGATTATGCTTATTAATAGAATTGTTGGTTTTAGAATATTTAATATGTTTTTTTTAATATTAATTTCTTTTTTTGGGGCTGTCTATTCTTTATTTTTATATTCTTATAGTCAACATGGAATGGTCTATTCAGGTTTGTATTCGTTTTTTACTTGTAGGTTTCGAGAATTTTTATTGTTATCGTTGCATTGAGTCCCATTAAATTTACTTGTTTTAGTTGGGGATTTTATGGTTTTATGAGTTTATCTAAGTAGTTTAAATAAAATTTTGATTTGTGGAATCAGAGATATACTATAGTATTTTAGATAATATTGAATATTTGTTTAATTTATTTTTATTTTATAACTGTTTTTAGATTGATTTTGTTTTTTCTTAGAATTAATTTTATAATTTTGGATTTGACTTATTTTTTAGAATTTAATTTGGTTATGATTAATTCTTCATCGTTTGTAATGACTTTTATTTTTGATTGAATGTCTCTTTTGTTTATGAGTTTTGTATTGTTTATTTCTGGTATGGTTATTTATTATAGTCGTGAATATATAAGAGGAGATTTGTATTTAAATCGTTTTATTTTGCTTGTAGTTATATTTGTAGTTTCAATAATGTTGCTTATTATTAGTCCTAATTTAATTAGAATTTTATTGGGTTGGGATGGATTAGGTTTGGTTTCTTATTGTTTAGTTATTTATTATCAAAATGTAAAGTCATATAATGCCGGTATGTTAACTGCTTTAAGAAATCGAATTGGTGATGTTGCCTTATTGATGGCTATTGCTTGAATATTAAATTATGGTAGATGAAATTATGTTTTTTACTTAGAGGAATTGAAGGGTAGATTTTATATATCTATTATTTCTTATTTGGTTTTGTTGGCTGCTATAACTAAGAGAGCTCAGATTCCATTTTCTTCTTGGTTACCTGCAGCTATGGCTGCTCCTACTCCTGTTTCTTCTTTGGTCCATTCTTCAACACTGGTAACTGCGGGTGTGTATTTATTGATTCGTTTTAATTTTGCTTTTAGAAATTATTTGATGTATTTGTTACTTTTTATTGCTATGATAACAATGTTTATATCAGGAATTGGGGCTAGGTTTGAATTTGATTTAAAAAAAATTATTGCTTTATCAACTTTAAGTCAGTTAGGGTTAATAATGAGTATTTTGGCGTTAGGTAGGTATAAGTTGGCTTTTTTTCACTTGCTTACCCATGCTTTATTTAAGGCTTTATTGTTTATGTGTGCTGGTAATGTTATTCATAATTTGGGCAATTGTCAAGATATTCGTTTTATGGGCGGGTTAGTAAAATTTATGCCTCTTACTTGTGTGTATTTTAATATTTGTAGTTTATCATTGTGCGGTTTACCTTTTTTGAGAGGATTTTATTCTAAGGATTTAATTTTGGAAGTAATATCAATAGGGTATTTGAATTTGTTTGTTTATTTAATTTTTTATTTATCTATTGGGTTAACAGTTTGTTATAGAGCTCGTCTTGTTTATTATAGTTGGGTGGGTAATTGAAATTTTTTTTCTTTAGGAAGAGTCTCTGATAGAGGGGTTGTTATGCTAAAGGGAATAAGAGGTTTAATTTTACTTGTTGTTTTTATGGGTAGGTTATTAGGTTGAATTATGTTTCCTTTTCCTTATGTTATTATTTTACCTTTTTATATAAAGTTAATGGCTTTAATTATAGTCTTTTTAGGGGCTTGAATTGGATATGAAATGTCAAAGTTTAATTTAAGTTATAGAAATATTTATGCGAATAACTATGGTGTTTCTTGGTTTTTATCAGGTATGTGAAATATGCCAGTGATTTCTACTTTTGGTGTAAATTATTATCCTGTTGTTGGAGGATCTGTTCTTTATAAAACATTTGATCAGGGTTGAACTGAATATTTCGGTGCTCAAAAAATTTATGGTTTATTAGTGAGGGGATCTTCGTTTGTTCAAATTTTAATGTATAATAGAATTAAAATTTTCTTTGTTTTGATGTTGTTTTGAGTTATATTATTACTTATGCTTTAACTTGGATAGCTTATATAGAGCATGATATTGAAGATATCAGGGAAATTATTAAATTTTCAGGTATTTATAAATGTTAATTAATTTTACATTGAAAATGTAATGTTTTTTTTAAACTATATAAATAGAAATATAAACATGTTAATGCTTTTTATTAAGTTAGAAGCTTATTTTTGTATATTTCTTTAATTGGAACTTAGTTCAGTTTTATCATTAACAGTGATATACCTCTATTTTGGTTTCAATTAAAAATAAGGATTGTTAAAATCAGATTTTTAGGTCGAAACTAAATGCAATTCTTTGCTTCTTATTTAAGATAAATTGATTAGATCAATTATTTTTAAGTGCAAATTAAATGTTATTATTAACTATTATCCTAGTTTGTTCAGTTAAGAGCTCCTTGTTTTCATTCGTGATATAGTCCAATTAATAAGATTGCAATGAAAACTGATGTTGTAATAAAATATGATATAAGAGAGTTTGATTTTAGAGTGATGATTATTGGTAATAAAAGAGTGATTTCTACGTCGAAAATTAAGAAAATAATAGCAATGAGGAAAAAATGTAGTGAAAATGGAAGTCGAGAGGAAGATTTGGGGTCAAATCCACACTCAAAAGGAGATCTTTTTTCTCGATCTGTAATGGTTTTTTTAGACGTTAAGTTTAGGACTATAATTAGAATGAGTGTGATTAGTCTAATAATTGTGGCTATAATGAATAGAATTTGGATTATTTATACTATTTTCTAGATCTTTTGATTGGAAGTCAAAAATAATTTTTATACTATATAAATATCTACCTCATCAGTAAATTGAAATGTAAAGGAATAGTCATACTACGTCTACGAAATGTCAATATCAGGCTGCGGCTTCAAATCCAAAATGATGAATTTGTGAAAAATGATTGTTAATATGACGAATTAAACAGACTAGAAGAAAGGTGGTTCCAATAATTACATGAATTCCATGAAATCCTGTAGCAACGAAAAATGATGAACCATACGCTGCATCTGAAATTGAAAATGAAGATTCGTAATATTCGAATGCCTGGAGGGCTGTAAAGTATAGTCCTAGTACTACTGTTAAGGTAAGTCCTTGAGTTGTTTGTTTGAAATTATTTTCTATTAGTCTGTGATGAGCTCAAGTTACGGTTAGTCCTGATGTTAATAAAATTAATGTATTTAGAAGAGGGATTTGAGTAGGATTAAATGGTGTAATTCCCTTAGGTGGTCATAGTATACCAATTTCTACTGTTGGAGCTAGTCTGTTGTGAAAAAATCCTCAAAAAAAGGAAATGAAGAAAAATACTTCTGATGTAATAAAAAGAATTATTCCTCATCGTAGACCTATTGTTACTACATATCTGTGGTGGCCTTGAAAGGTTGCTTCTCGTGTAATGTCTCGTCATCATTGATATATAATTAATAATATTGAGGCAAATCCAATAAATAAAAGCGAGTTGTTATAAAAATGGAATCATTTGATAATTCCTGATATAACAATTAGGGCTCTTAATGATCCTAAAATTGGTCAGGGTCTAGCTTCAACTAGGTGGAATGGGTGGTTTTTGTGTGACATTAGTTTACTTCTCTTGAGTATAATGTTCTTAGAACAGCAAATACGTAGGATTGGATAATGGCTACTGCTGATTCCAATACTAATAATAAGATTTGAGTAATCAGAAGAAGATTAATTATGTAAATTGATATTAAGTTTCCGGTATTTCCTAGAAGGGTTATTAGTAGATGGCCAGCAATTATATTAGCAGATAGCCGAATAGCTAAAGTCCCAGGTCGAATAATGTTTCTGATAGTTTCAATGCATACTATGAAAGGTATTAAAACGGGGGGAGTTCCTTGGGGGACTAAGTGAGCAAATATATGAATTGTGTTGTTAATTCATCCAAATAGCATAAAGGATAGTCATAAAGGAAGAGCTAGGGATAGGGTTAATGATATATGTCTTGTTCTTGTAAAAATGTAAGGGAATAATCCTAGAAAGTTATTAAAGAGGATTAGTCTGAATAAAGAGATGAATATTAATGTTGCTCCCTTAATTTTTGGACCAATAAGAGTTTTAAATTCCTTATGTAAGGATGATGTAATTTTTATTCAAAGTATATTTAGACGTGAGGGAATCAATCAGAAAGAAGTAGGAATAATGAGAATTCCAATTAAAGTTCTTAATCAGTTAATAGAGGTGTTTCAGTTAGTTGATGGGTCAAAAGAGGAAAATAGATTTGCTATCATTTTCAGTTTGTAGATAATTTTTTAATAGTTCTTTTTTTTTGCTTAATTTGATATCTGAAAGAATAATAGTTTAATGTGTTAAATATAATTAAAATTAAGGAGAATCAAATTATTAGAGTTAATCAATTTAGGGGAGCTATTTGTGGAATTAAAAATTAATATTTTATATTTACTTTAACTTGACAAGTTAATGTTATTTATTAACTAAATTTTTCATTAGAAGTAGGTGTTAATTTACTATTAAGTGGTTTAAGAGACCAATGCTTACTTTCAGCCATCTAATGAGATTTCAATTATTTTGGAAATTCATTTAATGAAGTATGAGGGAGAAATTCTTTCTGCGACGATTGGTATAAAACTATGGTTTGCTCCACAAATTTCTGAACACTGACCATAAAGAAGAGTAGATCGAGTAGAAGTAAATCTGGCTTGGTTTAGTCGTCCAGGAGTTGCATCTACCTTTACTCCTAGGGATGGAATTGTTCATGAGTGAATCACATCGGCTGCTGAAACGATTATTCGAATTTGTGACATAAAGGGAATTACTATTCGATTGTCAACATCTAATAGTCGAAAATTGAAGTTATTTATTTCTTGAGAAGGAATTATGTATGAATCGAATTCAACATTTTTGAAATCTGAGTATTCATATGATCAGTATCATTGATGACCGATGGTTTTGATTGAGATTGTGGGATTATTAGTTTCGTCTAGAATGTAGATTAGTCGTAAGGAAGGGAGTGCAATAAAAATTAATGTGATGGCAGGTAGGATGGTTCAGATAATTTCAATTAATTGTCCTTCGAGAAGAAATCGATGGGTCAATTTGTTAAAAAATAGGCCTGATATTATTTGTCCTACTAGAATTGTAATAATTACTAGAATTAGAAGGGTATGATCATGAAAGAATGATAGTTGTTCTATCAGAGGGGATGCTCTATCTTGTAATAATAATAATTTTCATGTTGCTATTTCTAAAAAAAGTTTAAACTTTATATATGGGGTTTAAGTCCATTGCACTAATCTGCCATATTAGAAAGATGAAGATAGTATAGGAAGTTCAGAATATCTATGCTCGGCAGGGGGGTAGTCTTGGAATCACTCAATTGATGATGTTATGTTTAGGGGAATTAAGGTTTTTCGAGATGCTGAAAATCTTTCTCAAATAATAAAGATTAGGAATATTACTCCAATAAAAGAAATAATTGATCCGATAGAAGAAACAATATTTCACATGGTATAAGCATCAGGATAGTCCGAGTATCGACGGGGTATACCTCTTAATCCTAGGAAGTGTTGAGGAAAGAATGTAATGTTGACTCCTACAAATATAGTAATAAATTGAATTTTGCATAGCTTAGGATTTAAGGTAGTTCCTGTGAATAAAGGAAATCAGTGAACTAATCCTCCTATAATTGCAAATACTGCTCCTATAGAAAGAACATAGTGGAAATGGGCTACAACGTAATATGTATCATGAAGTATAATATCAATAGATGAGTTAGCTAGTACTACTCCAGTTAGTCCCCCCACTGTAAATAAAAATACGAATCCTAGAGCTCATAATATTGAGGGAGAGTAATTAAGTTGTGTGCCATGTAGAGTTGCTAATCAACTAAAAATTTTAATTCCTGTAGGAACAGCAATGATTATAGTAGCTGATGTGAAATAGGCTCGAGTGTCAACGTCTATTCCGACTGTAAATATGTGATGAGCTCAAACTACAAATCCTAAAAGACCAATTGCTATTATGGCATAAATTATTCCCAGAGTTCCAAAAGCTTCCTTTTTTCCTCTTTCTTGTCTAATAATGTGGGAAATTATTCCGAATCCTGGTAGAATTAGAATATAAACTTCAGGGTGTCCAAAAAATCAAAATAGATGTTGGTATAAAATGGGATCTCCTCCTCCTGCTGGATCAAAGAAAGATGTATTGATGTTTCGGTCAGTAAGAAGTATAGTAATGGCACCTGCTAGTACTGGAAGTGAAAGAAGAAGAAGAACTGCGGTAATTACAACAGCTCAGACAAATAGGGGTATTCGATCAAAAGTTATTCCTTGTGGTCGTATATTAATAACTGTGGTAATGAAATTAGCGGCTCCTAAAATGGAAGAAATACCTGCTAAATGGAGACTAAAAATTGCGAGATCAACTGATGCCCCTCCATGAGCGATATTGGATGATAATGGGGGATAAACTGTTCATCCAGTTCCTGCTCCTCTTTCTACGATTCTTCTTATTAGAAGTAAAGTTAATGATGGGGGGAGAAGCCAGAATCTTATATTGTTTATTCGTGGGAATGCTATATCAGGGGCTCCTAGTATCAGGGGAACAAGTCAATTTCCGAATCCTCCAATTATAATAGGCATTACTATAAAAAAAATTATAATGAACGCATGGGCTGTGACAATTACGTTATAAATTTGGTCGTCACCAATTAGAGATCCTGGGTTTCCTAATTCTGCTCGAATTAGGAGTCTAAGAGAGGTTCCGACTATACCGGATCATGCACCAAAAATGAAGTAAAGTGTTCCAATATCTTTGTGGTTGGTAGAAAATAATCATTTATTCGGTAATATGGCTGAGATTAAGCGATAAATTGTAAATTTATTTACGGGTTTAGACTCTGTTACCAGTTTAAGAATAGAATTTAAACCCGTAAATAAATTTACAATTTTTTTGAAAGGTTTATGTTTCTGTTGTTTAAACTTATTTAAAAATAAAACGTAATAATAACCGTATTTAGATATAATTCCTATTCTATAAAGCTTTTATTACATAAAGCTAGTAGTTTTTTTTTTTTCGTTTTGGTTTAATAGTCAATAATGATTTTAAATTGCAAATTTAAAGGTAAGTAATTTTTTAAACTTGAGTGCCAAGGCTTAGAATGTTTATTCTATTGGTAACTTTGAAGGTTACAAGTTTAATTTAACTTAAATCCTTATAAGATATTAATGATAAGGGTTGATAAGATTAAACTAAGTAGAGTAATGATATTGATTGTTATCAGGTTTTTGTTGTTGAATTTAATTGTAGATGTTTTTGGTTCGTTGATGCTAATGATTATGGAAGATATTATTACTCGAATGTAAATGAATAATATAATTAGGGTAGTGACGATTATTAGGATAGTAAGAAGAATGAAGTTGTTTTCAGTTATTCAGTTGATTACAATTCATTTAGGAAGAAAACCAATAAAGGGAGGTAATCCTCCAAGAGACATAAAATTTATTATGATTGAGAATTTGGTTATTTTTCTATTGTTTATGATGTTGATAATTTGATTTAAGTAAAAAGATTTAGTTGTAGCGAATACTGCAATGATGTTAATATTTATGATTGAATAAATGATGAAGTAAACTGATCATGTGGCTAGCGATATTATTGATGTAGATAATATTCATGCGATATGGTTAATTGAGGAAAATGCAAGAATTTTACGTAGGCTAATTTGATTGAACCCTCTAATTGTTCTTGTTAAAAGTCTGATGATAATGATTGAAACAAGGAAAAGTTCATTTAGATTAATATTTATAATTAATATTATTGGGGCAATTTTTTGTCAAGTTAGCAGAATTAAGGAATTGGTTCAATTTAAACCTTCAATTACTTCGGGAAATCAGAAATGGAATGGGGCGGCTCCTAATTTTGTTATTAATGCAGTTGTAATTATTATTGAAAAATAAAAATTTATTAGGGGGTTAATAAATTCTTGAGTTGTCAATGTTATTATAACTGCTATTAGTAGAATTAGGGATGCTATTGCCTGTGTA